AGGCATCCTGCACCTGCTCCCGGTTCCTCCTGCAGGCAGGCTTTTCGTCAGCTGGCCTCCCTGTACCCTAGACACAAATCCTGCTCAAGGTCAAAGTGCTTTCCTGCCTGTGCAAGCCTCGGAGGAGCAAGGTGTCCAGTGGTTGGCATCTCTCATGACCTGCCAGCCTAGACAGCACCCCCTACTCTGTTTGCTAAGTTTGTGTTCGATAGCATTTGGTGGCGGGTTGGAAGTAAACGTTTTTGCTGTTATCCTCACCTTTGTTCCCACTTTGCCTTCCTGCCTTGTGACTTGCCTTCCACAGCAAGCTAGAAATTCTCTTCATGGGCCACTGCTTGGCAGGCGACCGCTGTAAGACCACCGAGTCCAGCCCCAGCCGCCAGCCCACCGTTGGCCCTGACGAGCAGCTGGGCAATGACAGCGTTCCTGCGGGCACTTCCCGGGAGGCCCACCGGCTTCCTGCTCCAGCCATCTTAGCTCCTGGTGAGGAAGCACAGCGCCTTCTTGGACTCCTCACAACTTGCCATCGAACACTCTCGGGGACAGACGCGGGAGGAGTGTTGAGTGAGCTCTTTGGAAATGTGCTGCCTAGTATAGAAGAAGGGTTACCTTGGCAACAGCAAGCCTGCTTCATTACCAGATGGCATTAGCTTTATTTGTGGTATTCCAGAGCAGTTGCCAAGAACCGACCTGTAGCCCCTGTCACCGGGCGTTTTGCCTGTGACTGCGGCCAGCATTGGCTAGTTTGCAGATGGCATCCGTCAGCCTGTGTGTGAGGCGTTGCCATATCCATCTACCAAAACTCCAAGGTCATCGTGTCCTGGTGCACCCAGATACATTAAAACCGGCCCAGGCCAGCTACACGAGAATCGGAATCACTGCGGCGTGATGAGAGGGCTGGAGAGAACGCCAGAGAACGCACACTGAGCGCCGTCCCGATGGCGGAGCTTGAGCGGCTCATCCTGCCCTTCCTGCCACACCGCGCCCTGCGGAGAAACGGAGGCTCGCAGCGGTTTCGTTTAGTCGTGCGCCGCACCCATAGCCGTGCATTGCGTGCATCATCTCATTTAATTCCCCCAGCAGGCCCCGCTGCGCTTCCCAGCTGAGTGAACAGGCACTGGAGGTGGTTTGACTTGCCCGCAGTCCCACTGCCTGCAAGTGGCAGATGTGAGACCGAAGCCATGCCCTTGGCCGTCACTCCGAACGGCCTTCCTTGGGAGTCATCAGGAAGCAGGTTTTGCTCATGCCTCAGGGCGCAGCACCACTGTCGGCCACCCCCTCCGCAGGAGCAGTGGCAGGAAGGTGTGTGAACATCAGTGCGGGTGCACCGTGTGGAGGCAGTGCCTGCAGCCGGGCTCTGACATGAACTGGCTGCGGATCGTCCCTCTGTGACGTCCTGGCGGGTCCGGGCAGGGCCACCATGGGAGCATGTTCCGGGCCAGCCGTCGGGGTGCTTGGTGCACGAATGAATGTAGGACAGGGAAAAGGAGAAAGGAAGGTGTTCATCCTAATTCAGATTCATATAGTAAAAAAATAAATTCAGTCTATCACCCCGGCCAGGTAGCTCAGTTGGTTAGAGCATCATCCCAATACCCCAAGGTCATGGGTTCAATCCCTGGTCAGGGCACATACAAGACGTGACCAGTGAATGCATGACTGAGTAGAATAACAAATTGGTGTATCTCTCACGTGCGCACGTGCACTGTCTAAAAAATCAGTCTAAAAAAATTTAACCTATCAGAATTATTTGCGCCTCTTTCCCTAATCGTGGCCTTGAAATGCCATTTCCCACTGAACAGAACCAGGGCTGCTGGAGGAGAGGACCCTGGCAGGACTTACGAAAGCCCCTGCAGAGCCGACGCCAGGGCACCCAGGAGCTCTGGGTGTGGCGAGAAGGCTCCGCAGCCGGGAGGCCGCCGGGCACGGGCAGGACGGTGTGAGCGTCAGGGTGAACAGTGAGCATCAGACAGAACACACTGCATGTGTTTAAGTCTACGAGTGTATAATTATGTTAGGGAAGGGAAGCTAATCCCATCTGCCCTGGAAGAAAACAAGTGAACCCATGCATTGTTTCAAAAACTGGCAAATGAAAAGAAATTAGCAATTTACCCTGCTTTTCCGATGGAACAAACTCTACTCCTGGATAACCAAATCGTAGAGGAGGGGAAGTTTTTCCTATAAAAGTGCCTCAGCTCGTAAACGAGAGCAGGATGAACGAACTCTGTGGAGCATGGCGTCGGGAACCCCGGGAGCCCACTGCCTGCGACACAGTGAGATGCCCAACCTTGCGTGCCTCCCATTGGTCGGCTGTGACACTGCCTGTGAAGGAGTCTTGACCAAAAAAAAAAAAAAAATCAAGCTCGAATCCCACCTACTCACCGAATTACAGGAAGCAGAGAGTAAGGGGAGCACGTAGAGTGTTCCACAGAGAGGCTGTCAGCAGAATCCAGGCTGGAAAGCTCTGGGGGGAAATAGCCCAGCTTCGTCACCAAACCAAGTGGGGCTGGCAGTCGGGAGGGGGGCAGGAGAGGCTGCTGAGACCTCTCTGCCGGCACGTGGCATGGGCTGTGGTCAGATCCTGACACAAGCGAACTTTGACTGACGAGCCTTGGGGGAGGTCGTGGGGACTTTGAACTCTGACTGGGCTGAGCGCCGGTAGCATTAGAGGATTCCTAATCCTCTGTGTTTCTGACGTAGGAGAGCATCGTGGTTAGGCTTTGCTGTTTTCAGAGCCCTTGTCTTTTGGAGATACAGAATGAAATACACATGAAATGATACCATAGTTGTTGTTTGTTTCAAAAACTACAGGAAGAGAAGAGCAGGTAGGGGAGGGGGTGAAGCAAGATTTGCCAAGAATTACAATTGTTAAAGTTGGGATGGGTCCATGGGAGTTCTTTATACCATTTCATTTATTTTTGTATATTATTTAAAATCTTCTCTGCCTGAGCTGGGCTCAGTTGGTTGGAGCATTGTCCCATGCACCTAAAGGTTTCAGGTTCAATCCCTGGTCAGGGCACATACCTAGGTTGCGGGTTCAATCCCCAGTTGGGGTACGTATGAGAGGAAGCTGGTCGATGTTTCTGTCTCTCTCTCAAATCAATAAACATGTCTTCGGGTGAGGATTTAAAAAATCTATAACAAAAGCTGTGAAGAAATAAATTAGGTTGGTACTTACGGAGGGGGTGGATTTTATTTTACTTTCACAGCACCTAGCGAGAGCAGGATGACGTAGGTGTATTCATAGCAATCTATCCTGTGGCAGATTGTATCAGAAACCTTAAAATACTTGTGTTATTCTCTCAGTAATTACAATTCTACAAACCTGTCCTCGAGAAATAATCCCAAATGTAGTGAAGTCTTTGTGAGCAGAAACACGTGTTGCAGCCATAAAAAAAAAATTAAAAAGATTAAATATAAAATTTCTGGTATTTTTAGTGTTTTTCCCCCTGAATTCCAACTTGAGAAACTTGAGAAATTACTAAGGCAATTTGTCAGTTAATGAAAATCAACTAGACTTTGGTTTTTTTAAAGGAAACAGTTGCTTAGTTAGTTATCCTTGCCCGTCAGCAGAGAGAGTTGAAATGGGCAGTTGAACCCAGTGGCCCGGCCCTGGCCTCCCTACAGCCACTGTCAGGCTGTTCATTTCAGTGCCTATAACCACAGAGTGACATCTAATTCCTTTCCCTCCCTCCCTTTCTTCCTGCCAATAAAAGGCCTGTAACCTAGAGACAGAGTTGCTCTTCCTACTTCTGTGGTTTATTGGCATCCTTAAGTAGTGACTTCCAGTTGTATAAGAAATGACCCTTTCAGGGCTACATGGTGTAGCAATAATTAAAAGTACTATACAGAAATGTAAGTGTACGGTTAATAAAATAGGACGTTTTTATTAACATTCTCCTAAGTGTAAATGAACGTACCGCACCTTTTTCTTGCCCAGTCCATGTTCTGGACCACCGCAGGCATACAAATATGGGGGCATCGGCTCAGAGCCAGACGCTGGTGAAGGGATGATGGGTGGGGAGGGTGGGGACTAACCAGGGAGAGGGGAAGGGTGTTGGGGAAACAAGGAAGGGGGTGGGCGGCACCCCGGAAACAGCTGCGGGGTGGGGGCCGCTCTCTGGGGCAGAGGCTTTTGTCCCGTGCCGACCAGTGGGACTCCCTTCAGCCAGTTCTGTGATGTCAGCCTCATTGATACCGCCCGACTGTGGACCCCGGTGGGTCCTGTGCTGAGTCTGCCTCCGGGGCCCCTCCACCTAGGAAACGGGACAGGAGGCTTGGCAGGGCATCAGAAGGGTTACAGGAGTGCCCCCCCCCCCCGACTGAAGGAAGGGGCTGTTTCTTTTCGTGGTGTTATATGAAACTTCATTTTTTAGGTGTTTTGTTTTTTTTTTTTTAATTCATGTACTCCCTTAAAGTTCTAAAAGAATAAAAGCACTTAAATGTGATTCCAGGATGATGTTCCTGTTAGGAGGTAAAACTCCGCTACTCTGCATTTACCTTCAGAATTTATTTGGCGTTGCTCCTCCACTTCTGAGCAGCCACTATAAGGAGATGGTCCCACCAGGGGACGCGCCTTTGGCCTCTCCCGCACCGTCTGTGTGATCCGTGGTGTACAAGGGGCCACGGTGTCATGGGGGGGCATGTGCTCACCAGCTCCCAGAGCAGAGCGCCTTTGAAGAAGACGCCCTCAGGACGGAGGGTAAACTTTGGGAACTTATCACGAACATTTATAGGCCAAAATCATAAACTCCTCCCAGGGCGGTCAGAAGAGCTGGGGCCTGCACCGTCCCTAAGCGGTAAGGAAACACTCGTTCTGCTGGGAGTTTGTTTCTCGGTGCTGTGGGGTGCTGGCACCAGGGGCGGCCCCCACGCCCTCCCCCCAGTCCCCCGGTGCGCGTCAGAAACAGGAGGGGAGCTCATCTTCTGTCGTCCCGCCTGCCTATGTGTGATTTGCATGGTCACGTGTAAGTGTTCACGTTTGCACATGCATGTTCTGACAGGTGACCTTGGGGAAGGTGCTGAAAGTGATTGTCGTCATGCGGAGCCTGTTCATCGACCGGACGATTGTGAAGGGGTTCAGTGAAAATGTCCACACGGAAGACGGCAAGGTGAGTGCGCCGCGGCCCCGCAGGCCTCGTTGCGTGACGCCTCGTGACGTCAGTGTGAAGGGGGCGCCGCACAGAAGGGGGACGCCGTACGGAAGCATCTCTCTCCCTGCGCGTTTTTCATCGGGCTTCTGCTTTTTGCCTTGAGCCCACCGCCCTCAGTTGGGATTTTCTGATTTATCACCTCAGACCCCAGTCGCCTCATTAAACGTGTCTTTTCTGAGGAAACAGGGTTTTTCCTGTCGCGCACTCATGCAGCACGTCGGTGCCCCAGGGTTCAGCGCTTTGCTTTCCCAGAACGACGACGAAGATCCCAGCTCATCCGGCACGCGAGCCGCCGGCAGGCGCTTTCTGGGAGACCCACCGGCAGCCCTCGGCAAGCCGCTGGTACACAGCAGCCCGCGCTGAGCTCCGCGGGCACAGACAGCAGGCTGTTTCCAGGGGTGACGCGTTTCACAGGAGTTCACCGGGCGAACCCCTAACTGCTCGTGACGGCACACTGTCCAGACGGCTCAGTGCAGACCGCCCAAGGACGCTGTGGGGGGCTTACAGCCCCCACTCGTGTCTGCTTCCCGCGTGTGACACGCACTGTGCGCAAGGTGCCCCCCAGACGCACCCTGCCCCCTTCCAGCGCCTGGGCACTGTCTCCCTCTCTCTCCGGAGCTTTCCCTTCTCTCGTGGATCGCACTTCAGTTTAAAAGTGTGTCTGTTCTAGCATTCTCCACCAACGGCCACGTGACAATGATAGAATGTTCTTTAAGATAAAACAGGTGGCGCGTGTAGCTTAGCACGTAACTAGATACATGAGGCCTGGCCCGTGAAGCCCGAACTCTGCGTTTCAAACGAGCAACCCAGCATGTCCGCCTCGCGCTGGCTTCGCCTTGGTCCAGGTCTCCCAGTAAGTTCTCATGAGCCTCACTGTGGATGGCGCAGCTTTCCTTGCAGGGAGGGTTCCTTTCTCTTTTTGGAAAAACCAGACTATCTGCGCAGCAAGTGTGGAGGATGAGGTCAGTAATCGGGGCGGGCGGGACCCGTGTGTGTGTGTGTGTGTGGTGCGGATACTGACCGAGGCTTTCAGGACAGCTCAGCAGCAGCAGGAGCAGCGCCTGGTGGGTCCCTGGCTGCGAGCCCCCTGCTGGTGGTCAGTTAGCGATGTGGTTCTTGTTGCCTTTGTTCAAGGCTGGCAGCTTTGTAGTCTCACCTGGGGTCAAACAGCCCTTGTCTCCAGGAACTTAAAAGTGGAGAGAGGAAGAATGTATGCATAAAGAGTTAGGTCCGAATAGTGACGGTGCTACGAGACGAGGCTCCAAATTCAGGGTGCGGGTGACACTGCGCTGCGTCGTGATCGCAAGGAGCGAGATCTTTGATGTTGTTGATGTTGCGGTTACTACCTGCTCACGCTGCAAGGGGCCAGAGTAATACCGATAAAGCACTTAGCGTGCCTGCCCCCGGTAAATGCCCAGTGAATGCTGCTAGTATTTTGTTACTATTATTCTGCACTTAAAACCAGGGCCCCAGAGAGCAGCCCCAGGTGTACCCCGGCGGTCTCAACCACCATCCTTGGCTGTTTCAGGTGGTTCTTTCCCTCGATTCTGCCCTGGACCCCCAGGTTCCCGGTCCTCATCTCCTCGCTCATGCCCCTTGGCTGCTGTCATCCACCCCCTCCAGTGTCACATGTCACCCACACCAGGATCACTCCTGGCCTGCTTTTGTGTCCCACCTCTGCTCCCCAGGAGTACTCCAATTTAGCCTGTCCCAAACGAAGCTCTTCTCCCTCCCTGACCAGCGTCTGTCCAGGGTTCCTCCTCGATTAACGGTGTCACCATGTAAATGCCCATCCCTTCCCCCCACACACACCTCGCCTGCCAGCGGGTTTCGGCGACTCTCCCTCTCACACGCATCCCCGGGGGGCTCCTCCTGCCCTGCCCCACTCCTCGGAGGCTCACCGCCTCTCGGCTGGGTCTCCGCACTGGCCTCCACACGGCCAGTGTCCAGTCCTGCTGCCGCCGCAGCCTATACCTTCACTTGGCTTCCAGCGCTGTCTTCCCGAAGTGCGGCTCCTGCTTTTTGCCATCTTCCCATCACCCACAGCGGTCCTCCCACGACAGGAGGGGGTGTTAATAGACGTTGGGCCCAAAGCGGCCCATGGTTAAAGCTTGAGGCCTCCACTGTTCAGGACTGTGCTTTGCCGTGGGCCTCGCGCGCCTCCCGGGAGGGTGTGCAGTGTTTTCCCGGCCCATTTCTCCACCAAACTCTTCTCTCCTCCCTTCACTCGGAGAGCACGCCGTGCCCCCGGCATTGAGCAGAGCACACTTCCAAACGCACTGGCGTGTAGGACACGTCCCGGACTCCTCGGTCCGGCCCGCCCGCCTCTCTGACCTCAGACATGCGCCGCCTTCCTTCCCCACCTTTCCTGCTGCCGTGGCTCCTGGGACGCGCTGGGCTGCCACCCACACTGGCACCCTCTGTGCCTGTCACCGGGGCTGCCATTGCCTCCTCCCCTGTCACACGGGCTGAGTGCCACCTGCCTCTCACCCCATCCCCATTTCCCCAGGGGCCTCTCACTGGGGCACAGGCTCCGCTCACAGCGCAGATTATCATCGTTAATGTACCCAGAGCAGCCCGCTTTTTCCCAAACCAGAATTAGCATGTCGTGGTTCTTCCTCTATATATCTGTCTCTTAGTTAATAGAGATACTAACATAAGGAGTGTAGAAGGCATCCAGCCATGAAATATGAAAAATGGAGACATTTATTGAAGAAGCTACAAGAAACGTACACAGGACAATGACACCTCAGTCCCCTTCAAATTGACACCTTGAGACCTCACACAGTTCTCCCAATCGCCATCAGCTGCCTCGTCCTATTTTCCTGAATCTCATTGACAGTCTGAAATCTCTTCCCTTTCAAAGGTGATTTTAGTTTGGGGAAAAACCAGAAGTCTCAGGTGCCAAATCTGGGCTGTAGTGGGGCTGAGTCACCTGGGTGATTTGATGTTTTGCCAAAAATCTCCGCACGAGACGTGATGCATGAGCAGGCATGTTGTCATGATGAAGCTGCTGATCTCCAGTTGCCTGTACCTGTGGCCTTCTGAATCAGCTGGCTAGTTTCTGCAGAGGAATGTTCAAGTTTACTTGATGCAGATTCGTTGCTCTACTCGCTCAGTCATTTTGAATGCGATGACCACACAGTACACATGCTCACTCAATGGTGTCTACCGCCCCCACTGACTAGTACAGTGAAGACATCAGTATTAACACATGCGCATTCCAGTCCACTCTCCTTGGCTGCTGGGTTACAGCGATGCTGCACAAACCGCTCTCGTTATGTTAGCAAAGGCTGGACTTTTTCCGGACGGACCTCCAGTGATAGCCTGGTAGGCGTTGTGCCAAAGCAGACCTTGCCCACGGTGGTTATGGAGTCCTGGACTCGTTTTCCAGAGAAGGGGACCAAGACCTAGAGCAGTAAAGTGACTGCCCGAGGTCACCGGAGCCAGGTGGCAGACCTCCCTCTTCCGGGAGCTCCCAAGGGCCCTGACTCTGTCCTGTGACTGTCTCCTGAGGAGAGAACTCGGTGCCTGGGCCATAGATGCCCAGCAGCTCAGAGCAGGGTCGCAAGGGAGCCCACAAGGACTGCAAAAATGCCTTCTCTGGAATGGCAGGGCAAAGAGTGAGAAATCAGAGGTGGGCACTAAAGGGAGTGGTGGGGAGTGAAGTCATGAATGGATCGGAGAGTGAAGGACACACACGCGTGTGCACCAGGGAGCAGTTAGCAGGGCCTCCACTCATCAGACAGGGAATGCGTGTGTCCGGGAACCTGCACCTGCCGCGACTCGTGCCTCCAGGGTGGTGCAGGGGCTGCTTGTGCCCTTTACAGCAGCAGGCACCGGCCCAGGTGCTGAGCCAGGCCCTCAGGCGGGGACTGGCCAGGCTGAAGGACCGAGTCTGCTGCGATTTTAAAGGTGCATTAACCACATTTGGCAGAGCGGCTCTCAAATGACTGCGGTGCCCAGAATCGAATCCTAGCCAATTGGATTAGCCCCTTTGTTCAGAGCACTTTACAAACGATAAAAATAAAGCCACGCAGCCATTATTAGTCTTCTGCTTTGAGCACTGATGCTGCTGTGTGGGAACTTAAATGTATTGACGTGTGGATGAGCATTAGTGCATTCTGTGTGGGGAGATGTCTGGCTCGTCCCAGCTAGAAGGTAATGGCGGGAAGGAGCCCTTGGCGGTCTAGGAGAACACACCTTTGCTTGCAGAGCCCTGGTCCCGGACGCCCCTGCACCTGCTGAGCCGCTGGCAGTGCCCGGCCCCGGCCTGGGGCCGTTTGCCGCAGTTTCCGAGCGCAACAGCAGACACAGTGGGCGTGGGCAGGAAAGCCTCTTGGGCTCACAGGCTCCAAACTCCCGTGTACACGGTCGTCTGTGTCCTCCAAACCCAGTGCCTCCAGCACATTCTGAAAGGTGCTGAGACCCCTGTAGCTGCCGTGTGGCCCGGCCACACCCCACTTCCCAGGCCTGGCAGGCTCCCCCTCAGAGCCACAGCAGGGTCGGTCCTGTGCAGCCACTGCGGCCCCTGCCCCATCCTCCTGCCCCCTGGCCCGTGGGCACGTTTCTGATACCCAGCAGCGGCCGACTGCTTCCTCTGATAAAGTACAAAAATGTGCTTAGCACTCACCGACGCGTATTCACTGCAACCAGCAAGGCACAAGGAGCCGTGACTCAGTACGTTAAAAAGCAGGTTTGACTTGAGTACCTGACCGTTGTCCTGATTTTACTGCCAGTTGGACTTAACTGGAAAAGTAAAAGGGTCTCAGCTGAGTTGATCTTATTAGGGGATTTAGGTTATGTTAACGCCGTAGCTTCATTAAGTATCCCCTATCAATTAAAAAAAAAGAAAGAGAGGCGCTTTCCGCCTCCTAGCCTACCAGAGGAAGAGAAACGGGGTATCAAAGGGAAGCTTCAAAGACAGCCAGTGCTGTCTCCAGGGTAATTTCTGATCCCGCATTCTTCCCACTTCAAAGTTGGGTGGGGGCGGGTTTGGGTGGGAAGCTTGAATCTGATTTCTCTAATACATGTTGGCATCAGCCCTGTTTGATATTGGATGCAGGGAACATTTTGATTTGGTATAGCCTTTGAAATTGTTCAGACGACCTTCAGAAAAACGGCCTCTTGTTAGGTATGGGGGAAGGGCGCAGCCGGGGAAGGGTCCCTGCAGCCAGCAGGCAGAGGGCGCCAGAAGTTGTGCCTTCGGCAGTTCCTCAGTAACAAGCGCTTCCTGGTGGAAAGTGGACGGTCCAGGGTGGCAGGCCTGTGGCACTGCGTTCTTTGGTGAGACTCACTCTCTCGTCGTGCAGGGGAGGGTGGTGCCCAGGATGGCCCAGCAGAAGTTCCTGGCTTGAAAACCCAGGCAGCCGTGGAGAAACTGGGCACCGTTGCCGGTTGGCCGTGTTCTCCCTACGGAGGTGTCATCTCCGGACCTTGCTGGATGGAGCCGCTGATAAACAGACACTTTAAAGGCTGACGTCCCTGTGAGGCTGACGAGTTTGATTTGGAAGTGTCAGTTTCAGATAATTTATAGGTCATTGTACTATTTTCTGAAATGAAGAATTGATCACTTTCCGATAAGCTGCTCGAGTCTTCACTTGCTGCTAATGCATCTTAGTGTGACGCTTGTCACCCTGAAGGCCTTGGAGCCAACTTGTGGTGTTGAACTTGGTAAGAGCGCTGCCTGGAGGTTGGTGGCAGCCCAAGGCCGGGCTTCCTGTCACCATCCATCTGGAGTCCAGCTGAAAGGCCGTCTTCTTGCAAGTCACAGGCTGCACCTCTGGAGGTGGCCCTGGTTTCTGCCTCTCCACCACACCCGAACCCTGTGCTGCTGGACCAGCGGCTTCTCCCCCTGAGCCTCCACGTCTCCATCTGGGGACCGGGCATCATGGTGTGACCCCCCTGCGGTGGCTGGGGGCACTTAGGAAGAGAGCGCAGGTGCAGCGCAGGCTGCCTGCATCATCATCGGGACGAGGCAGTGGCCTCGCTGGTGGTGGCGGAGGCCATGGGGGTTGGTCGTCACAGCATTAAGAGTCCCCTGGCCCACTGGTGTGGGGTTGCTCTGATTGTTCTTTTCAGTGAGTATCACTGTCACCGTTTTCACTGGTTCCTCCTGTACCTCGAGAGAGCCTTTGCTTCTGGATGACTGACCAGAAGACAGCTGTGTCTCTGCCGGAGCACTTGGTCACCTGCAGCGTCGGTTGCAGCTTAACTGAGCACAGACCCTACCCGCCCCCGAAGTCTCCCCCCAACCCCCAGGGCCCGGAGGCTGCTCCCAGGGCTGGGTTTCCAGCCCCAGTTCCCACACGACGGGGATGGTTTCTCCGTTTTGAGATTTTTCTGGTGCTTGCACTTCTTCCTTCTGTTGCTCTGGTTCAGAGTAACTTCCCATTCACCGGGCTGCGAGTACTCGGCTTCCAGAATACGCCTGTCTGAATGCTGCACCGGCAGTAATGGGCAGCCCTGCCGCCTTGGCAGGGGGCAGCTGAAGCTCATGAATATTCACTCGGGTCAGCCCCAGCTCCCTGAAACGCATTTCCTGAATCTTCTTAGCCCGGAGGAGAGGCTGGCTGTCGACCCCAGAGTGCCGGCTTCAGTGTCTTTCTTTGGCGTAAATCTAGCAGAAAATCAAGTGCGAGCCACCTGCTGTGCCTTCCCAGCAAAATCAGAACCCATTGTTGTCGGATCCCTTCTTACCTGAGTGCACCTGGCAAAGGCGGCGTATCGTCCAGCGTGCTCCTGCCCCAGATGGTCCGACCTGTTCCCTGGGGGCCCAGATAATGCAGTTGGACCGCCTTCCGCACAGAGCAGCAGGCACACACCGGACAGGCACGGTGCGTTTTGAGAGCCCACAGCCGGCCAGAGAGTCTGCCTCCAATTAAACTGACACGTACTTCTCTCCAGGTGGTTTTTCTGTTAGAACTTTCACAGCACTGGAGGGTCTTAAAAAAAAAGAAAGAAAGAAAGAAATAATAATAATTCCACCTTTGAAATAGAAACTGTCACTTTTCCGCCTGCCTGCACACTCGTCCTTCTCTCTCCGTCCCTGGCCCCGTGTTTGTGTCTTGTTGTGCCTGGCACAGTGGGCACGGGCAGGAGGGGTCAGCAGCGGGGAGGACTTCAGAAGACACAGCCACGCACGTGAAAACGGCAGGAGAATGTATCAGTTCCACGTTCAGACATGGGTGGTCCTCTTCCTAAAATTTGGATTTAGCGTCTTTGTCATCCTGGCAGTGATTCGGCAGAACTAAAAGGCGCAGAATCTCATCTGCTCTGCAGTCCCTGGACAGTCTTTACAGCCGCTCATTCCTAAGCCCTGGGCCACACTGAACACGGGGTCCGAGCCGGCTCTCCCCACAGGGCACCCGGCGCCCAGGGGAGCACCGTGCCAGCCTCCACCACACGGGGAGTTCACGCCCGGCGCTTCCTCGGAGCTTTCCTCCAGACGGACCTGGAAGGAGCACAGCACTTCTCCCTGGAAACTGCTGACCTGTCCAGTTAAATGCCTACAGATTTTTTGAAATTCTTACCCCGTCACTATGAGACCCCATTTGGTCTCATAGTGAGTGGGAAAGAGGAGCAGAGACTGACCATTGACACCACCTTTCTGGAGAGCAGTTTAACCAGGATGGAAGCAGAGGGGTGCTGAGGGGGCTTTTGTGGAAATGCAGGACGGAGAGCGGACCGCCAGTGGGGGTGGGGAAAGGTGGGTTTGAATGCCGGTTGTCCATCGGGGCTCTTTGTGACGTGTCCAGGACTCGGACCGGCCGGCCCTCTGCCGGTCCCGCAGGAGCCCTGCAGTGGTCCTTGGGGTCGCAGGGACCTCTCTGCCACCATGAAAGTTCTCAGATGGAGTGCAGTCTCCGTAACACGGATCGTGGAGAGGAAGAAGCTGGGAGGACTGGGTATAGCGTGTCTGTTCACGACCCAACTTTGCATTCCCAGGGCTGCTTCATTCAGAAAGCCAAGTTTGGGTGCTTTCCTCGTAACAGAACTGTCCTCTGCCAGATGCCACACTTCACTTCCTGTCTTAGAAGAATCTTCCCATCTGATTGCTTCTTGTGCTCCCAGGTGCTTCAAAATCAATAACACAACCTGCAGGCATAAATAGCCACGTCTCAGCTTTCCACCTTGACCACCCGCCAACCCCAGAGGCAGGTTCCAAGAGGCCCATTGACCAGGGGCTTCAATTTGCTCGGCTCTTGAACCTGCACATTAAAGCCGACTTTTTAGCGCCTGGGGACCTACGGGCAGCCCCCGTTTAGTCTGCACTGTGCTCCAGCTCTCTCCCAGCACTGCCTGGGGGCAATTCCAGTGCGGCCACACTCATCTCTTCTCGAAACAGCGGGGGGGGGGGGCATCGATCCGATTCCTCCTGCAAACCCGTGACCCCAGAGTGGTCCTGGGGAGGCAGCGCCCCCGCCAGACCGACTGGGTGGCGCCCAGTGCGGCCCGAGAAGGGCTGGCCCAGGTGCACACAGCCGGACCTCTGCTCTCCCCTGTGACGTGGGGGCACCCGGGGTCTCAGTGACCTGGAGAGTGCCGCTGGAACAAGTGGGCGGGTGGACCCTGCGGCCCGCTCCACCCCTGCCCCTGCAGACGCACTAGCACTCGGGATGGGGCCGGGGGCCTGTGCAGGGAAACACAACAGGTGTCACTGGGGCTCCTGCCGCCAGCTGCCCAGGTGTACAACTTCCGTCACGTGGAAAGGAAGGTGGCTAACGGGACCCTCTGTATGGGCTGTTCTGGGGAGTTGGTGAGAGTGTGTGGAGGCGCCATGCAGTGCTCACCGGCCGGGAGGTTTTCTCCTCTCGCAAAGGCCGCTGCCGCCTGTGACATGCTAGGGCCCAGACAGGGCAACGTAGACACAGGAGGTTTCTGGCAGTTCTAAATGCTGCGAAAACTTAAACTTTTTGGAAGAATAAAGAGAACCCAGATAATGGGTATGGGAATAACGTTTCAGACAGAGTCCCTGGGAAATGCCTGTCTGAGCCTGTCTGAGGTGGCTTACGAGCTCACGGAACTGTGGGAGGGGCGGTGGGAGGGTTTGTAGGGAAAGCAGTCCAGGCATAGGGCACAGCAGGTGCAGAGGCCCTGAGGCAGGACTGACCTGGGGGGCCCCCTGAGTGCCATGAGAGGACCAGGGTAGGAGTCAAGGTCAGGAGAGTGAGTTGTGGGTGTGGCTCCTGGGGCCTCGGAGGCACTGGTGCCTTCAGGTGACTTCTCCGTCCGTCCTTATTCCCTCATTAGTCTCCTGATGTCACCAAAGTCACCAACACTTGAGCAGAACGTTTAGAACCTTCCAGCCCCAGGGTTGTTATTCAGTATTCATGGTTTTTTTCCCAAGCTTAATAGCAGTAGTTAGGATACCATTTTTTGAAGTCCAGAGTCTAGAATGAATGCTGACGGTACCTTTTCTCTTTTCCCAGCTGGATATATGGTCCAAGTCGAACTATCAAGTGTTCCAGAAGGTAAGCTGCACTCTGCTTCCTACTTGGGAGGCAGCGAGGGAAGTGGGAGGCTTTGAGGGATGAACAGTGGCCTTTAGCGCCGGCCTTTTTCAGAAGTGAAGAAAGCCTGACACAGAGGCTGCACCCCCTGTGGCTCCATTTATAGGACAGTCTGGAAAAGACTGGACCTTCAGGGGGAGTCGGATCGGCAGTTGCACGAGGACGTGGCTGGGTGACGGGGGTGTCGTGTGTCTTTGCCGCAGTGGCGACTGCGCAGCTGCGTGTGCTTCGGAGCCAGTGGAGCTGTGCCCCGCAGAGGGCGGGCTTTGTGTCTGTCAGCTGTGCCTTTAAAAATGTCACAGGCCTGCCGTGGGGACTCAGAGTGAGGCAGGCTGGCACACCCTCACCCTGGCCCATCCCCACTTGACACACTGGTGACGTCCCTTTCAGATGTCGGGCTCCCTCGTGAAATACGCTCGGGGATACGTTAGGGAAAACGAAGTGTGACTAGAGAAATGCACTTCCTGCTCCCAGGGGGAGGGGGAGGGGGCCTGTCCTCGAACCCGCAGCACCCCCAGGGCTTGCGAGGGTTCCCCCGGCTCCCTGGCACTCAGACCAGGTCCTTCCGCTCTCTGTTCCTGGGCTCGCCCAGCCGTGCGAATGTACAGTTGGTTGCATTTTCATTCATTGCCTCACCAAGTTCAACAATAATTACGCACTGGGCCCCCTGTGCTGTGTGCTAGGAATACAGGGGGAAGCAGACCAGGAAGTGCAGCGAGTCAGGGGACTGCGGTGTCAGTAGGGGCTGCAGCCAGCACAGCAGGAAGGGCGCCTTCACCCAGAGCACCCCCAGGAGGGAGGCCTTCGGGACAGAATGTAAGCTGAGTCAGGACACCTGAGGAGGAGCCAGCCATTTGAAAGACACGGGAAGAGGTTCCCGGGGATGGAGGCGGCAGCCCAGACCCCGGGGCAGGGGGCAGAGCGGGAACGGAGCTTGGGGCTTATGCTCAACGCTGTGAGAAACCATCAAGGGGTGGGTGCAGGGCAGGGGCGTGATTCCCACTGAAGTAATAGTTGTGTCCCATGTATGCCTGGTAGCGCCGAGAGCATGGGCCCTCCTTTTCATCCAGGTGAGATCACGTGATATTAACCACTTTAGAGTAAACTATCTCCGGCTTTGAATACTGGCTCAGAGTTGCCAAACCACCACCTCTGTCCGCTTCCAAAACACATTCATCACCCCAGAAGGACACCCGGCACCCATTGAGCAGCGAGCATGGAGCTTTTGAATCAGCGGGGCTTAGGGGACCAGCCCGGTCAGCGTGCAACATGCCTCAGAGTCACGTGGCTCCTGGACCCATGCACCGTGGGAGGGCGAGCCCAGGGCAGACACCTGGGGCCAGGGTGGAGTCCGAGGGTCAGCGCCACATGGGTGGGGCCTGTGCACACACCAGACATCACGATGGCATCGCGGCTGAACACAGTGTGCTGCCCTGGGCTGGGCCCTGAAACAGAAGATGCTGGTGGGGAACTGGCAGATCCAGATCAAGCCTGGGGTTCAGTTCACAGTAAGCGACCAGTACCGGTTTTGCAGGTGTGACGAAGGTACCAGATGTGAAAGGTGTTACCAGTGGGCCAGCTGGGGGAGGGGTGTACAGATAGGCAACGCCCACTGCCTTTGCAACTTGCCTGTAAATCTAAAGCTGATCCAAAGTTTCAGTTTATTCCACAAAGAAAATCATAGCCTGGATCCTTCCAACGCCGCTTCACCCAGCTGAGCCCCCCCAGAGCCCACAGGAGGAAAGAGCCTCCTCCCATGCCCAGAGCCTGGGGTGGGGCTTGGCCGGCGGGGCGTGGCAGCCAGGGTGGCCGTGGTGCCGCAGCCACTGGGCTCAGTCCCAGCACCTGGTCTAGACGTGTGAAAGTCTCAGCCCGCACTGCTAACTGCCCGTGCTGACCACCTCTGCCAGCGTCCCCTGCAGCTGGCTGGGAACACCCCGAGTAGAAAGGACACTGGCCGTTTCCTGTGTCTTGTTTTGCTGTCACGGGGAGGAGCGTTGAAGCGGCTCTGTGGCTCCTCTTTAACCTGGTCTGCCGCAGTGTCCTCTGCGGTGTCACAGGGAGGAGGGCACACCAGGTGGGTGGTGACTGAGGGGCCACAGGTGTCTCAGCCCCGTGACCTGGAGTTAGCAGCGACAGCTCCCCACACGGGCCCTCTGGGAGGGAGGGCCGCGTCCACCCCTGCCTTTGCACACGGGGTTGTCCGTGTCCTGTGTCATGTGGGGTAGTTTTGAGTGCACTCGGGGAGCGGATTAGGAAATGCGTGAAACGTGTTTGGACAGACGGTGCTACATTTTTATCCCACCTCCCCTAAAAATAGCACTTTTGTATTTGTCCAAAACCGCAAGCACACCCTGGAGCAGCGTCTAAAACCTCATGTTAGTCCAGTTGGAGAGATTTAGGAGCACCTGCCAGCTCCTTCCTGTGGGTTACGTACCTGTCGTCTGTTTGGAGCAGTAAAAACAGGTGAATTTGTGGGGGGTTTATCTCACCTGGTGAAGGGCGTACTGTGTCTGCGCAGAGCCCTTTCTGCCTTCAGCTGTTCAACTGGATGGACTTGACCCCACTCTGACAGTGACCTGTGCCAGGCTCAAGAGCCAGAATTTGGGGACCGGTGACAGTGCTTTCTGAGGAGCACTGAAGGCGGACAGCGTGCAGGTCCTTTTCCTCTTGCCGACGCAGCGGGTCGAGGAGCCCTGTCTCTTCCGGCTGCGGCGCCCCCTGCGTGCCAACAGACTAAGGGACGTCCTGGAGGACAATGCAGGAAGACTGGGCTTGGCCCTTTATCGCAAGGCTTTTGCCTCCTTATCATCCCGGGGAAACGGTCTGGGATTCTGTTTTTTAGAAGTCTGTTTTATATGGCTGTGCTTGTGGAGCCGCCGGCAGAGAAGATGAACACTGTGGAGTGGGGTCGTGACTGGTGGCTGCTCTGGGCTCGCGTCACTGTGCTCGCCTCTGGCCAGGCGGTGGAAGGTCAGAGGGCAGGTGCCCTTACTCCACAGCCACCTGCTGAAGGCAGAGCAGGGAACACATTGGCACTGCAGGTTCTGAAGGCCTGGTGCCATTTATGGGGTGAAGTTGAGCGTTTCCAACTCAAAATGCCGCCCTGGCCAGTGTAGCTCAGTGGATTGAGCATGGGCTGAGAACCAAAGGGTCACTGACTTGATTCCCAGTCAGGGCTCAGGCCTGGACTGCAGGCCAGGTCTCCAGCAGGGGGCACGTGAGAGGCAACTGCACATTGATGTTTCTCTCCCTTTCCCCTCCCCTCCCCTCCCCTCCCCTCCTCTCCCTCCCCTCCCCTCCCCTCCCCTCTAAAAAGAAATAAGTAAAATATTTTTTTAAAAACCCTCAAAATGCTAATGGAGAAGGATTAAGTGGCAGCACCCCGACACTCTACTTTTTATTAGTATCACCTTTTCCTAAGAACTCTCCTTTCCTCTCGTCCACCCACACACATTTCGGAGTCCTGACTAGTGTTGCCTGTAGCATTTCCAGAAAAACACCGAGAGCCCCGTGGGGACCTTGGCTGCTGGCCCCCTGGGAAAACCGGGCGGTTCCGGGCAGCCCCCATCCTGGGAGAGCACTGATGCGGCAGGGGCTCCCTGGCTGTTAGCAGAGGGGGAGGGGTCTCTCAGGGAGAAACAGCACCCAGTGTCCTGGCCGTGGGAGTGGTGCCGTGCTGCTGCTCCTCCTCCCCCACGGGGTGGCCGGACCACCCACCGCCTGGGCTCCTAGGATGCCTGGGGGGCCTCACTCCCTGCCTTGCTCCAGGGCCGAAGCCCAGGACCTCCTTTTCTTCAGCGGTCACTGTGTGCTGCGTGTTTTCCTGCCCACAGGCAGCTGTGGTGGCTGCAGAGAGAGACCTGCTGGGAAGGAGGGACACCTTCCAGGTCCTCCCGATCCTGAACAAAGTCGGGGTGGAGGGTGGGGGACCAGCCGGCAGAGCCCCACTGCTTGCTCAGGTCTGCTTATTCTGGAGAGCCGAGTCAGGAGCTCGGCAGCACGCACCTGTCTGGCTCTCCTCGGCCTGCACTGCTACCTGGGTTAAAGACAGCAAACGAGGTCCTGCCACCCAGCCTGCGGCAGGGAGGCTGCACGGGGCCTGCCCTTTGCTCCCGGGACTCTGCGCAAGCCCTTTCTCTTCTCATTAGACCCCTTCTGCGGGAGCGGGGAGGGTGGAGGGCCGGGCACAGTGTACTGCGGTCCCGTTGACTGTGGTGCCCCAGAGGCTCTGTGCACTCCGTCCTGGGGCGAAGGAGCTTTTCATAGCCAGTGAGGCTCCAGCAGAGCCAATTCAGAGAATGGATCTTGGGAAGAGTGGGGACCATCTGAAAGGGCAGACTGACAAAGAGCCAGGAAAGGTTTCAGGTGTGTTCTTGTTTCCCTGACATTTAGACTCTGCAGGGCAGTCACTGTTTTGATCTTTAACCTCCTCGTTTCAAAACAGTGTGTGCTTCCCCCCAGTAACTTAGGAAGCTACACCTTATGTTAAATCTCCGCAGGGGGTGTGCCACCCAGGGACAGGTGGGGACAGTAGAGACAATGCCAGGGACCGGCAAACGTGCTTCACAGCCTTGTCCCTTGGGGCAAAGCACAGAGTCATAGCCCAGGGTGCCCGCTCAGTCCACAGTCGGTGTTCCAGAGGCAGCGAGCGCAGTGCAGCCCTCGGGGCTGTGCCGGCGGCAGGGCTCCCTGCGCTCCAGCGGTAGGCGCTGTTCCGGGAGGCCGCCGTGCCTCTGTTCGTGCAGTCTCTCGCTCACCCCTCGCTCGCTCGTACTCCCGTGCAGAGACCGGCCTCTGTACCCGGGCCGTGTGCTGAGTGGCCCCCGGTGCTCGTCAGCAGACAGACGGGATCGTCCCCAGGAGAGTCGGTTCTTGAGATTTTGGATTCATCGAGCACCTGGCACAAACTGCCTGCCGAGACGGCCTGTGGCAAAGCTAGCTTGCCGCTCAGCCCAAGT